TAACATTGCAACTAGGCTTCAGTGCTGTTTTGGGTATGGAAAACCAATGCTTCCTAAAGCCAAAGGAACTCTATGAACATTATAGAAGACTTTCTCAGAAAGAAAACCTGAAAACTTTTACCACTACTAGTAGGAAGAATCAGAACACAGACACAGAATCATAGCGTGGATGTAGTCCAAGAGAGGTATGCTAGTACATTTAAATATCAGAAGGCAGTAGCCAAAATGGACAGGATTATAATCTGCTTTTAAACCCACTTTTAAAAAATAATACTGTTGTTATAATCATGGCAGTTTAAATCACAAAGTTTGTTGTGATATACAGTATATTTTTCATTAGATCAACTGATATAGCCTGGAGAGAAAAAAACAGAAGCTTCCAAATCCCAGGTCCGTTCTAACCTTCATTTCAGATGTGCTGAATACGTTCTCAGTCTCAAAATTCTATTTTCTCTAACTGCATGTACAAACAGTGTTCAGTTATCCTTTTAGGCACTATTAATACTTTAGTAAATCAGTAACAACTCGGATTAAGAATGATGTCTGCTTATGACACACACAAATGGTCACTTTTAAAAAAAAAAAAACAAAACACCACAGGTTACTAGAAGAATAAATAAATTGCAAAATTTCCCCCAGTAAATAAAATTGTAATGATATGTAGAGATTATTCAGAAATTTCAAATGGAAGGTACAGATGTAGTTGTCTGTAACTGTGACACATTACTGGTTTGGGTTATTTAGTAAAATGTTTATGCTAAAAGTGTGCAAGGGGCTTGACAAATTTCCACTCCACATTTTAATGATATGAGAAAGAATAATTTCCAGTACTGAACATAAATTTAGCTAATTTTAACAGGGAATAAAATGTGATGTCGAGTGAAACCTGCATTGTGAAGTGCCTGCTGGTTCATTTTTCCTTCCTTACCTGACCATCAAATTCACTTCCCTCCAAGAAACCTGTTTCTAGGTGGGAGACAGTGCTATCCAACATATATAAACGTTATTCTTGCACCCCTTCCCAGAACACTTGAGTCAACAGCAGGGAAATATGTGTTCATTCTGTCTGCTTAGCCCAGCAGCATTGAACTCCTCGCTTTCTCCTTCTAAATTACTATTGTTCTAACACAGAAGAGTTTTAATAAAATAAATCCTTAAGCATCTTTTCTAAAGTCACTTCAGAGAGCTTAATCCATCCAAAGAAACCTTGGCCAAACTGGATCTAGTAGAGAGATTGGCTTGGCTTGCTTCAGCTTAACAAAATAAAGTCTGAAAGCTGATATACATGGTCTTATTCACTTGAGGTAACACCAAGGAAATAGGAAATGTTGCTGATGGCAAAGGATAACATTGGCTCAATACCAAGTGGACATAAACCAGGACATGCTGCATTACCATTCCTATCTTTCCAAAAGCTTCAGGACGCAATGTATTATTTAAATAGCCCATTACTTGAAATTTGAAATAAATCTGCAAGTGCATTATGACGATTTTGTATACACTTTAAATGTTAAATTTTAAATGTATTGGAACTGTCTAAGGAAAATATATCTACAGATTAGTAGAGAAGTATTTCCAAGGCCTTTGCTTAGAGAGGATACAGCGACCTCTGCTATGCCATGCTTCTGAAATTTCATGTATCACTGTTTATAGAGTCTTTGAGCAATGTCAGCCAGCAAGATCAAGTTATTAATTTGCTGAATATTCTCTTTCATTTGAGTAGTCATGCTAATATCTTAGAGCAGGATCCATTTTGTAGCTACTGATGGCTACTAGCCATCAATGCTGGCTCTTGTACTTTCACTTCAATCAAAAGACTGCAGAAAAAAAGAGCTTGGAAGGTGTCAGGCATGAGGATTATTCACTTATTTAGGAGCCCAACAAAATCTATGAATGTCACGTAATGGAATATCTTTGTACTCATACTTAAGGAAAAATGACAACTTACTTTTCTAACAAATGTTCTTTCCAGACAACAGGTTACTAAACCAAACTGGATACAGAACAGATTTCATAAAAATTCTACTGCAAAAGAGTCTTCAAGGGCTGTTGCAGATATGAGTAGGAGGCAGAAAGCTAAAACAAGACAAAACTAATAAGGAAAGCTAAGCCAAGACTCTATATACTACCACAGAGACTTGTCAAAAGTTCTGTTCAAAATCTATGAAATAAGAGGCGACACTGTGGCCTCCAACTATTAGACATACACCATTTATTTCAGTTTTAGTGTTAAAGAAACAAATGAAGCACTTAAGGTAATTGCTATGGTTTTAATCTATGTTCATTAGAAAGGCTGTATAGTATTCTAAACTTGAGAGCACTGCCCACATAATATCTTCCCAGAGCTTTAAAACTTGTATTAGCGATATCTTTCTCATGCTGCCAATATATATAGTACTTCTAAGTTAATGAAACCTAAAGAGATACAACAACTTGGCAAATTATTTCACCTACTTGAAAAATAATAATGGATTGCGTAACATATTTTGAATCCTTCCATTTATTTGTGTGAACATGTTTCTCTTCCAGTTCTAACATGACAAATACTTACTATTTTTCTTCAAGTACTTAGCTGTCAAACTGATTCATTTTATAATTTTATTTTTTCTTGATAAGGTACATTCAGTTTCTCTTTAGCCAGCTAGCAGCAAAACTCAAAAAAACCCCACAGCCTCACAAAAAGTTTAGACATGCCAGCTCCCAGAAGTATGCAGATAAATTAATAAATAGAATAGTTATATAATTAATGAATAGTTAATGACAGTACAAATAACTTTATTTGCAAAATTTAAAACTCCTTTAATTTTACCGTGGTTTGGTAAGAGTTTATAAATGAAAGAGTTTGTTTTGGAAAATGAAGTGTATTAATCTATCATTCTTGCTTTAAGATACTCAACAGAATAAAATGGGTAAACCAAAATGCCACCCTCTAACTGTACAATTAAAGGACAGAAAAGGGGAATTAATATCTTCAGGCTGCAAACACAGCAAAAGTTGGGAAGTGTTGGAGAGAAGGGACATGACTATGGGGAAATCATGTTAGCCTGCAATGAAGAAAAATCACAATTTATAAAAGCCAAGCCCTTCATGTGTTTTGATTTTCCTTATGGTCTTTAATTTGATTTTTTGTTATCCTGTAGCTTTTTGTTTGTTTTGTTATGAAATTTAAAAAAAAACAAACTAAAAATAAACACCAAACCAAACCAAACCAAAAAAAGAAACAGAGAGAAAGGTATCACTATTCCAGTTTCACGTTACAGCCAGTGGTGGTCACTGGGACATCACCAACGCCCTCTTTAATTCAAGAACTTTCTCTTTGCTGAGGCATGCATGGATAGTGCTGTAGGATCTATAACCCACCGCTACATTACTTAAACATAATTCTGAAAATTTGCAGGAGAAAACAAAAATCCAACATCTTATGAACACTGACATTTTCCATTCTTTGGTCAGTAAACTGAGTTATTCATGCAAATTGTTACTCTGTGGGAAAACAAGACTGACTGGCATTCCCTTTGAATTATTAGAATATTGCCTGAGAAGGAGTTTATTCTAGAAAATCATAAAATCAGGACTTGGATTAGAAAAGAATTTTCAGATTAATTAATTGAATTATGAGCATCATTTCCTAAGAGATTAGTTATTTCAATAAAATTCACTGAAAAGGAAATAAAGCACTGATTATTTTTTTTAAATCACAAAATAAAATGATGATAACAGGCACAGACTGTTCAAAGAGAGAACAGTTGCATTGCATCTGACTTCTGTACATTATCACAAATCTCTTTGTGTTGTCCTCAACATTTTGTTAAATTAAAACAAGATACAGTTCTTTTTGCTTAATGTTACACAAGTACTTGGAAGCTGCTATTTATTTTCATTTAGTATTCAAAATAAAAGCAGTTTATGATCATAAGTAATTGCGTAAACTCATTTATTAAAACGCTTACCCAGGTAAGATAATGTATGATGTAACATTTAGGATTTATTGAAACACAATAGGACAACCTGCAGCTTATAAATGGATGGAAGTTGTCAGCATTAGCAAGATGAATTTTATTTTATACTGGACTATGAACGTTTGTTTCGTATTCATTTTGACACATTTAGCACAAGCATTTGAGGACAGAAAGTCAGCTGGGTTTGCTCTCCAACAGGTTGTATCCATGCCATCTATATTATTCTGTACATCTTGAATTAATTCCAACAAATTTTAGGCATCTAGCTTAGCCTAAACATCTTGTGCTCTCTCTATCGTCAATGGGTAGATACAAAAACAGCAGACAGTAGTCAGATCAAGAGTTAATTCAGTTAGCCTAAGTCAGCTATACTTGGTAATTACAAACAGGTTCAGCATACTTTGTACTCAATACCTTGTAGGTAGACCACCACACCACTGACTGCCAAGGGAAAAGAAGTATTTTCATGTTAGGGCTAACACAGTTCCAGAAAGGAATGACACTTTAACAAAACTAGCCTTGTTGTCTGAAATAGCTTTCTGATTGGAAAAAAAGGCATTCTTCCTTTGAGCTGCTAACCTAGACCAAACTCCTTCCAAATTTTAAAATATGGTTTAGATGCTTGCAAAACAAGCACATTCCACAAGCCAAAACAGTGCTAAAAAATGAGCTACAAAACTCGAGACCTCTGATATATTTACATGCCAAGAAAGTAAGTTTGGGAAATTCTGAAGAGATATTGAACAGTAATCCTGGTTTTCTGAACTTTCATTGTGAAACTCTGTGAAATAATATTTTTTCACCAAATGATACTGAATTGGGTTTTAGTCTCAAAATCTTTTAATACTGTAACATCTTCCTGATTCAAGCCATTTTTTTTACAGTCTACAGATCACCAAACATTTGAAGAACCTCACACAAAAAAAAGGGCAGAGTGACAGGTTCAGTAGAGTTTTATCTCCCTTTTAACACAACAACATTAAGAACAATAAATGTACATATAACTTACAGATGAATACCTATCATTTTGGTTCTACTTACCACTGGCTGGCTGCAAAGGTAACGGCAAAGTTCTCCAATGTACTGGATGACAGTCACATTGTACTTTTTGCAGTCACTCCAAAACTGACTAGCTGAGAACTTCTTTTTTAACACACAGGTTGCACCTTCATGGAAACAGCAGAAAAGTAAATGAAGCATTTTGTCCATATGGCAGCTTAGCTAGCTACATTAGCTAGGTAAAACAGAACATAAGAGGAACTAAAAGCAGCCTCGTTCAGAGAACTATATGGCATTTAAGCTGTTTCATTAGAAGACGTGTTCAAACCTGGTAGACAAAGCAGGGAGACAAACCCAGTCTCCTCCTTGGTCAGACAGTAAACCGATAGATAAGAGGTTAAAAGCAAGAAGACAGCTTCCCTTTGTTGGTGTTGTAACATTATTCAAAAGAGTTTCGCTGAAAATATCCAGAAAAGTCAGCCTGAATTGGCAAATCACTTGAGTATCAATGAAACCTCATTTTTCAACAAAGAAAGTATTCATCGATGCAGATTCAGAAAGAATTAATCCATAATCCAATGATCTTTCCCTTGCTCTAACTTGTCCTTGATGCTTTAGGAAACAGGAAATATTTGCCATCAAGTTCTAAATAAATCTTCTATAAGAGAGTCACTGAGGAAACCTACATTGTCTCAGTAAAATATGTACTTTATTGTCCGTGCCAAAACAGTACACAAATTAAATGGGGAAAAATTCATATATCATCTCATGATACATGACAAAGCTGAAAGTTTGCAGTAAATGTATTTGTCAGTCTTTTAAAGTACACCAAAATACATTTTAGTTCTATTCCACTGTACAATGCTTAGTCTGTACATATACTAATGCACTATACACACTGCCAAAATACTGCATATGTGCTTAAATTCTTTTTTACCCAAATATAAAACAAAGTAAAAACATTTGTGACACCAGTGATTATAACTAATTCTTCTCCAGTACCACAAAGATAGCTTGTAAGCAATCCTTCACTATCACAACACCCCCTCATCCCCAAAATACAGAAATATAAAGCTATTCCAAAAACAATATTCATTTGATTTCAGCAAAGCGTTAGTTTCACTAATGGCAGTGAACCCAAGTGTGTTTTATACATTTTTATAACAATCATTAATTCTCTATTAACAAGACAACTAATAAAACAAGCCCTACCCAATTCAATGCATCCACCGACACCAAGAAGAGACGCTGCACTGTGATAAAGAGGCAGAGTAATATAAATGATATCTTCTGCAGTAGCACCAAAAGCCCACAGTCCAGCAGCTCCTTTAAGAACCTGCATGTGACTGATGACTGCGGCCTTCGGAAGACCTGTAATGAAAAGACAAAATCATGCATAAAGCCTCTCCTAAAGAGAACTCAATCCTTTTTTTCCCCTGTGTAAGGTCTCTAAAATCATAAATTCTCTCTTCCATAATCAAATTTTCAGCCATCTGTTTAGATGGCTGTTAATAGACAATCAGCTGTTTAATAAAATACTACGTTTGTTCCGTACACATAAAGATACATAAGCTACTTTGTCACCTCACCTGTTAGTTATTTAATCTGATGTCAAGTCAATTCAAATAGGTGGAAACATGAAGAAACTCCATGGTTAGCAGGCTATCAAATTGTATAGAGCCAATATAGGGCCAAAAAGCATTTATTACACATATGGACTACCTTTAACATAAAGAGGCATCACACTAGATCTCTTTCAGGCAAGACTTATAGTGACTGTAACATAATTAAGAAAGTTATGGGATCTACATGAAGTAGATCATGTAGTGGGTGCTTATCTACGATGTGTAGATCTAAGTCTACCTATTTGTTTAAGAATACTATGAAGACTATGTAGAATTAAAAAAAAAAAATCAGCAGAAAGTTCACTCCAGTTAAGTTCTTCTTAATGAGTTTCATCAGGTTCAGCGCAGAATTTCTGTTCAGCAGCACACAGACTCACATGCAAGGGTTTCTTGGGTTACTACTCTGGCACCCATTATTTTCAGTAGGGGTTGTGTTCTTGCTTCATATACGTTCTCACATACACACACAAATTTCAGGCTGAGTCCTGATGATGAACAGTGAGAACTGTTAAAAATTTCAAAAAATTTAATGGTTCAGAAAGTTTTCTCACCTATTTGAGCAAAACTACTGTTCTTTTGAAGACTTAAGTAGAGCTGTTAACTAGAAGTGCAATCTACAGAGATTCTAACTACACTTCAAAGGTATTCCAAAACACATCACATTAAAGAGAAAAGGCAATACGCCTGTGTTGCCATTGAGCCACTTATAGCAAGAAGTGCTCTACAGAGTCTTGAGTTTTTTCCTTCTGGCTTTACAGACAGCTGACTACAGACCATGCAAGATAACTTCTTTAACAAAGTTTTTCAGTCATTGATTTTAGGAGCAACACTATGTTCTTGCTTTATCAAAAAGTGTGAAAATGCTCAGTTACTTTAGATTAGAATTAGTTATTCCACACTTTTCAGACTAAACAAACCTTATTCTTCTAGTTACATGGTACATAAAAGAAATCCAACGTAAATTAAGGTAATACTTAACATGCGTTCAAAAATATTTTAAATTCTACATAACTAAAATTTCAGACTTTATACAGATATTCTGAACGCGGTTATAAGAACAAAATTTTTACACCTGGAGAATTCTATAGTATTTTTTAGCTAAAATTCCTTACTTTCAACCAGCAAGCTCAACCATATTTACACTAGTAGTATACAGACATACCCAACCTCTGGACAATAATTACACCTTCCTAGTATTTTTATTCTGGACTAACATTTTTATTTCCTAATTTTTCCCCAGAACTCAAACCAAATAAATTAAACGATTATTTGTATGAGGGAACAAAGCCATAAAACACACTTGAATTTTAAATCTTCTTGTGACTAAAACTGTTGTGTTCAGCTGAATGAGAATGCCAACCCGCTTATCTAAACATCATCATGCTGCTTTTCACATCAGTGAAGAGTTTTTTTAAAGTCTTAGCTTCTTAGCTGCTGGAGCACTGGTAATAAATTCAGCCATCTGTTTCTAAACTAAAAGGCTAGTAACTTAATCCTCTTTTCTGTCTCTACAGTGACCTGCATAGAACATGACTTAACGAAGAAAAACCAAATGTCTATTTGCTTGTTTGAAGATTGCTTTTTAAAGTTCTAGATACAATGTCAGCTGTATTAACTAGGAAGTGGTATGTGATGACAAAATAATATTTATTATCATTGTAAACCCACTGAAAAAACAAAATGTTTTATGAGCACCTTAGCTGTGAAGTAGTAAGAGGTAAAGCTTCTCACAGTGTTTGCATAATGTGGCAGTAAAAAAAAAGGCCACAAACCACTCAATATAAGGTCATAAACAAGAAACATGCTTATTTTCTACCATAATGCTTCTAGATAAGAAATATGATACTCCACTATGAAAGGATGAACCAGAAGATTACAGTTTCAGAAAATCAGTTTTCAAGATGAAAGCTGAAGGAAAATACAAATTCCTTAGCAGACCTGTACCTGTTGTTCCTGAAGTAAATATATATAAAACAGATGACTTGAGGGTGCTGGCACAGCGTCGAGTAACTGGAACAGGGTCTTCAGAAGCAGCCTCTATTTTGTCTAAAAGGGTATGCACGCTTGGAAAAGTGGAGTCTTTGGCCATTATCCAAACACCAACACCTTCTTGGAGGTTAGGAAGAATTTCCTCCAGTGTCCCAAGCAAATCTTAAAAATCAATATAAAATAATGTTACTCACATTATGTTGTCACAAAACTAGCAAATAAAGTATTTTTCCTCTGAAAGTTTTACTCTTTGTAATAGAAAGAGGAATGAAAGTTACCTCCATGGACATAAAGAAACTCAGTAAAATAATGATGAAGTAGAATGAAAATTCACTGAAAACAGGATACAATGTGGTAAAAATACTGCTGACCCCAGAAAGTCTAATTGTCAACTAGTCCTCAAGGCAAAATGGTGAGCCTTGATTACTAGCTCCTGCTTCCTACCTCATTTTGGATAACCCTTGGTCATTTCTAAGACCAGAATGAAGTGTAGTTAAGCTTCAAATAAATCATGAAGAAATCAGCTGAAAATGCAAGGCAAATGTATACATAGCTGCTAATTACAGTGCAGGTTTCCCTGGATGCCCTCAACAGCAATCTCTCTCAGAGCTGAATTTTTTTCAAAAGCACATAAGTAACTAGTTTAAAAACAAACACACAAATAAAAACTGTATTGTGTATGTAAGTACCTGAATTTCACACAGTAGAAATATGATACAGGCCTGTGGCTTATTCAGACACTGCCAAAGAACAATGTGGCTATTTATGTAGTGCTTTGAACGTTTTAGATACCTTAATGAATCTGATTTTAGGTACATCAGACAATTTTATTTTCTTATAATCACATGTTCATTCATTGAAAGCCATTCCTACTACTGGCTTTCACCTGAATATAAATACAAACTCACTTTTATAAAATAAAAACAGCAGCATAACTAAGATCTATTTTGTTGGCTTATCAGGACAGAAACCATGAAAGAGAGTCCCAGATTAAACAAAAAGAAAAAACATAGATAGAGGCCAATCCTTAAGTAATACATTTAGTATTTATGTTTATATCTCTAAGCACTTTTACAATCTGTCACCTTCCCAGAACAGGAATAATACTGCTTTCAATAGAACTATTCATATATGTAAAGACTCATTTACACTTAAGTGCTTCGCTAGATCTCTGCCTATGTAATTAATCTTGCAAATATCCCTGTGGGTATAAATTTATGTTATTATCTCAGTTTTTATAGATGAATAAACAAAGTTGACATGACTCAACCAGAACCTCATAAAGAGGCATTGCCAGAGCCAGCATTTGAAATCATGTCAACTCCAAGTTCATTTCGCAAATATTAAATATGGATACCACTAATAGAACCCCCTTGCATAGATTTTACATCAAAGGAAGTGAAGATTTTTAAACTTTCAGAAAACTACTTTCCTAATGACAGACTGCTGTATGTATTTTAATGAATGACATACTAACCTCTATTACTGCAGCAGAGACATAGCCTGCTATTGCCAACTAAACATACGTCTTACAAACCCAAAGCCTATAGAGTATAAGTTCTATCTATTTTATGAATGTTTAGCAAATAGATCTGATGGAGTGTGACATTAAAATTTTTGTGTTCTAACTTCCTTGCACTGCAGAATGATTTCAGGAAGGAATCACGCAGATAATTAGGAAAATCTAAAAGATAGATAGCCTCCTGTTTGAATCATTGGTGTACAGTCCCATTCTACTAGAGAGAGCAATAGAATGAAAAAATGTGAATAAAAAATAATGTTAAGGGCAATAGCGTTAACTGCAGGAAACCTAATGTACCGGAAGTCAAGGTTCATGGGCACATTAATTCTGTTTTGCTGACGTATTATAAAATTAGGGTATATTTTTCAAGTCATAAATATGAAAATACAACAGTATTATTTCTAATGAAAAACAGCTATTAATAAACCAAGTGTTTATTAATAACTGTATAGTTATTACCATCTAATACTGATTTTTGTCTTCTTATTATGCATATATATATACGTATATGTCTCCTAAATACACTAATGATAGTTTGTGTAGATACAAGTTAGGCTGAGAACCTAGCAAAAGAAACACATGTGTTAGAAGTGGCTGGAGCTCCATTTCTGTTCTCAAAAATAGTAAAAGAATATAGCATTCTCTGTCATTCTTTATTGGTGCACTGGCACTCCAGTGCCAGCAAAGATGTTAAGGATTGTTAATTGTTAAGGGTTGTTAAGAGTTTCTTGTCTCTTCCAACTTCCAGCAATCATTTGAACAAGACTCAGCTATTCATCTTGTGCAGTGTCCTCACAAGGTAACAAATGTGATGTACAAATATTGAGAAAAAACTGTCCAATAAAAGTCGTCATGCAAAATTATCCTGTGTAACTAAAGTGTAACTGTCAATGAAATTTCACCTATTGTTTAAATGAAAACTATCTTCTTGCAAAAGGCCTGGCAAAAAAACTCTCAGTGAGTATCACCCTTTTGAAGTACAGCAGATACCAAAGGGATCATTGTGGCATTTCCTTATTTTCCATAGATAAATTAATTCCTTCCTGCATTTCCTTAAATTGTTTTGCTTTTTACATTTTTGAAAGTCATGAAGCTACCACCTCTTAACTTCTCTACAGAAGACATTTTTGTTATGACATGAAAAAATTCACAAATATTTCCAATTTACTAGTATTCAGAAGTTCTAGATAAGATGTGCATCAAGTTCTTTGTGTATTTGAGTAACATGAAGTGCAAGTCTGTCAAAAAGAAGAGGACTTACCTCTTGTTTTTCTTTTTCCCCTCTTTTCCTTCCTTCCTTAACGGAAGAAAGATGGCAGCTATTAATTTCAACTCTACAGACACAATCAAGATTCAAGTATGACAGCAGGGCATAGCTTCCTTTCAGCAGACTGAAACATATTTACTCTAAATAATTAAGATCAACATTCAAATTAAACATACACACTGTTCATTGTTTCTCTAAACACTCACTCGTAACACCTATGGTTCTTGTTGCTGCACAGAGGCTTGCTTGGGTTTTTTTAACTACTATTGAACTATGAATCAATTATTCAACAGAATTTTTCTTCCGTGCTCAGGAATCTAGTACTTGGAATAATATGTGAACAGCTTGTAATTATATATTATCTTGAAAGAAATTTCTAGTTAGATAGCAGAGAACAGCAGAAACAGTAAGTGATTTCCTTAATAAGAAAGGGTAATTTAAAACAGCTGTATTCAAAGTGCCAGAAACTGAAAATTACTTCTGGAACACACAGGAGGATGGGGTGTTTGAAGACAACTCTCAGTTGTACTAACATATTTCCAAAGAATAATTCTGATGATAGTCAACTGATGTTTTGTTCCATGAACAAAGAACTTCTGTGTCAGACATTGTGTGGGGCTCATTGGTCTTTACATATCACCTTGTCCATCTGTCAGCAAAAAACAGCCCTCTTGGAGGAACTATAGTTTGATTATTTCCAGAGGTACCTGGTGTGTGTACTTTACCATATAGGAAAGCAATTATAATAAAGCAATTTAGCGATTTAAGCTTGTGGTTTCTCTCCAGTACTTGTTTGCTTTTTACATTATGAAAGTATATTCAGGTTTCGGTTTATTTGTTTTGGAAGAAATGACTGTTTATCTAAAGTTTGGCAATGTAGGCAGCAGTTCTGTGTGCATTGTTTACACTGTGTATGAATATTCACCATTTGCTACCTATTTGGCTTCTACTGGGGAAAAAAAAATATAATTGGTCAAGATTAATATGCTTCTCTACTTTTTTTGCCTTTTTTTCCCCTCTTGCTTTTAAAACATTTCATTATTCAAACACAAGTTTATGAAACAGTTACATTAAATTCGCATGAAAACATAACTCAGTTACATCTTTTGAGAAAGCAAGGAAAATATATTTTTAACTACTGTCCCAGGCTTCAAGTTGCACGAAAGGGTTTTTATGTTATTTTCTAGCAAAGAAACAATGCAGCCTGTTGGCAAGGACACAGTCCTACACTGATGAAAGGAACACATTAGATTATGAGATCAACTTGTACTGAACAGAAAGTTACTCGGAAGGAAAACTGTATGAAATGGTTCTTACACAACTTTGATATGTACCCTGCTTGATATGCTCAGTAAGCTATAGCAAGTCCAAACTCTTCCCCACACTGTCTGGCCTCAGAAAATAATTGTTACTTGTACTTGATCCCACAAGTGACTTGCTATACTCAGCACCTACTCTCACTAAGCAATTATAACAGAAATTACAAGTCAGTTGTGGTCCAGGATCAGTGTTGGTATCTTGAAACATCACTGAAAGCAGTAAAGGTAGTAAAACAGAATCCAGCTTGGGAATTGCAGTTGGCACTGTTTTCCATCCAAAAGCTGTCTGGGACATAGACATAGACTAAGTAAAAGCAAGTGATCAAAAACATATGGTGTCTGACAGAGCAGCCAAGAATGTCTTCTGCAGGTCTTCTATGGTTTGCTTGTCCTAAGTGTTTAGTTCTAAACAGTTTTTTATTTCGCATAGTTAAGAAAAGACGGTTTCGATAAAATCAATTTTTTTTTCACTCGGTGACCAACATATGAGAGATGATAGTGCTACTTCTACATAATATCATATGACCTTAATTCACAAATACCAAAAAAGATTTTGTTTACTGTCTTTCTCCAGGGTGTAGACACACTTCTGTCTGAACTTCATTCCTGCCAGCATAACCCCTGGTTCTGAGCTCATATGGTGAGAAGCTCAGAAAACACTAAGCAGTAGAAGAAAGCACTGCTGGTGCCTCAAGAGTAAAGAATCCTGGCCAGGAAAATGCTATACTTGCACAGCTGGGAGATGTAATTCTGTACAGAATTGCAGAATCACAGAATGGCTGTGGTTGGAAGGGACCTCTGGAGGACATCTTGGCCCCACACCCCTGCTCAAGCAGGCCCACGTAGAGGGGACTACCAACACATGTCCATGAGGCAAGTGTACTCCCTGAATAGCCTTTGCTATCAGGACTGATGTAAACCAATCTCATGGAGTTTACTAATGTAATCCTTTCACAGTTGAATCCTCGCATCAAAAGTCATGATCGTAATCTGGGATGCCCTACTAAGAGCTGAACTCTTTCGAGTAGCAAGACACTATAAATGCACTGGCAAATTCCATTTGTACCTTTCTCATGGGTCACCAGACTGTAAATATTGTTTAATAGTATTGCTGTCACACAGGTACTGTCCAAAAGATAAAATGCAATCCCTTGTTCAAGCAAGACCGCAATTAATAGACATATTCCCTAGAAAGGACAGAGTGCCTTAAAAGGTGCTTTCATTTTAAGCACTACCTTGCTCCTCTGTCTAACCAGTAGTTTTTAAACAAATAAGAGTGGCATAATCTGATAACAAATTAAGTAAGGACAAATACCTTTTAAACAGGTCAGATTGCTGTTAAGAGTAAGGTAATGCTGGCAGTCTGATAAAAAGAAGGCAGCTTCTTTTTTTCTCCTTTACAAGTTCCTCGTTTACTTACATGTTAGTTAACTGCTGTTTTATTAAAAATGCAGTTTTATACTCCAACTTTTGAATCTCTTTCAACAAACATTCCCCAGAATGGGAGTGGTGGTAGACAGTGTTTCTGGGAATGGAAGTGTGAGCATGTTATGTAACAAAATAAAGCAAGAGCTAAACGCTCTGGGAACACAGCAAACGAAAGTAGCTAAAGCAAAAACTCTCTCTTTGCCACAAAGGCAAGTAGAAATACTGGAAAAGAACACAAAGTCTAAATTTTGGCAAATCAGAGAATCTACATTTGCCTCACAGCTTGCGGTTGGATGAGAAGGAAAAAAACAAGTTACTAGATTGTGCTAAATGCATCAGAAGAACATTGCTGTCACAGAAAAAATGCAACCTTTTAGAGATAGCCATTTCATATAACAAACCAACAAGAGGGTGAAATTTTCAAGTTTTTGTGACATATCTGACGTTTAAGAATAAAACATTCAATTGCAGAAAGTTCACAGAATACATAAGTCAACCAAACCCCCAAAACTTGAGTACAATTGGAAGACTCCCATCTAAAGTTAGAAAAAGCAATCAAAATATCTGACAATTGTCAGACCAGAAGAAAGTCTGACTGCAAGTGCTGAAGGAAAGACAAGATGATAATAATTGGACCAGGTTACCGAACCACAACCTCTGAAAAACATGCAGGCACAAAACAAAACTGAAAAGTACAAATTACACAAATTAGAATGATCTTGCAAGAGGAAGCATAAAAGACGGAAGAAGGTGGGAAAGAAAATGCATCCATAAATTGTACTCAGCCTATTTGGATAGATGTATCATATTTGTAAAAAATAAAAGCATTTTGGAAAAATGACAGGATGTACCAAACAAAGCTGCAAGATGCAGTCATCTCACAGATGAAGGCTACACCACTATTCTGAGCAGGGAAGATTTAGCAATAAACAACTATCTGTTGCAGCTGTTCCAGTTATCAGTAGAAGGCGGAAAGTTCCCTTCAGCACAACTGAAACCTTAATCTTAAAGTGGATTTGAATACAGGTTCCTGATTTAATGTACCATTACAGATAAGAATTTCATGAGCAAATTTGGTCTTGCTGAGCACAGTTAATAGTCAAATTGTTAAGGGGACGATTTCTGCTGTGCTGCAGTATATGAACAAGATTGAAGATCATCCAAAATACTGAAAAGATCAGTTTTGTAACTATTACAAGAAATGGAATTGCTAAGTCAAGCCTATATTTGTTCGTGGAGGGTGAAAAACCTACATATTTTTGAAAATTAGGATTCCCACTATCCAGGAATAATACCATTATGTACTAATGTCTGATTAAAAAAAAAAAATCAGTTGCCAAACATGATGCCTGAGTATGACAATGACAGATATTGGACCACAGGTTGATTGTTTTTAGCATAAATATTTTGAAAAAAAAGTATTACTGTGTTGAAGCTATGCACAATCCTGTGGAAAATGGTGCCACAAGAGCAAAGCACACAAGAAAGTTCAAGTCATGCCTACTGGTAAGTAACAACCCCTTTAAACACTGGACAAAAAGATATTTAATGACCTCTGACAATCATCTAACTGATGGTGTAACCTCAGTGTTAAATACTGCCCTGCAATTTTTATAAACATTAGGGGGAAATTATTATGTACAATAATTATGTACAATATGTTTTTGTTTCATAAGTGGTATGAGTTAGTCCTCACAGTGACTGAACAGTATATGAACCTTCAGTTGTGAAACCTGGACTCCTTTGGAGAGGCTCCTTTTCCATATGACACTGCCAATAAACAGAGATATAACAGAATTCAACTTCTTTCACAGATACAAATAAAAAGAGCCTTTAAGTCCCAAAGAAGAATACTGTGAAGCCTTGCAGGCTCAAGGGTCTGACAAACTTAATGCAGAGACTAAAAGCCATGAATAAAGTAAGAAGACCAACACATAAAAGACCAGCTCAGAGACTAATCTGTTAGCATCTCTGTTGTATTGCCTGTCTGCATATAGCTCTTCTTTTGTGAGCAGAGGCAGACACCTAGAACTAGCTCAATGTAGTTGCTCTTACTGTCAGCTGCTGGTAAAAAATTAACTGTGGAGAAACACAGCCC